CGCCCCTCGACACGGGGTTGGAAAACGATCAGGGCGGCCGGTGGCCCCGCCCCGGCCCGGCCCCGGCCGGGCCCCGGCCGGCGAGGCATATAGATAGGGGGGCGGCCTCAACGGGTGACATGCACGTCGCCGACGACGATGGCTGCATAATTTCCAGTGGCGCGCACATATTATGGATGCGGCCGTGTCTTTCTTCCTCTTCTCCGCAGCATTGTGTCGCTAATTTCGGCCAGACGGTAAAGGTGGAGCGCGGTTGCGATATGGATGAGTGCAGGTGGGGCGTGTCGCCGCCGTCGGTATTGGCTTATCTAGCGTATTGGCCGAGTGCATTCTGCAAGCGGTCTGCTTATTACACTGCACTTGGACTGGTGTGTAAAAGGAGCGAAAAGGGACTCTTCGGCATACAGTTCTGGGAGTGATCAAGAATTTCTGAGCTCAATGTTGAAACGCTACAACTGACAATTTGGCTGTGGACGGTTGAGCGGTAAAGTGCAGCATCACTGCTGACTTGAATAAAACCTACCATGTCTATCTTTTGAACAGCATCATATGAAGTGTGTCTACCTCGATCATAGAATGTTGACAAAGTGCAGGGAAGATTAGTCATTTTGCACCTTGGCGTGACCCTAAACTTCAAGACTGTACCCTCTTAAAAAATCCGTCAAGTCCACATTTTCAATGTGGCTTAAAAGGGCTTCGCGTGCTTGGTGTGAGCTATGGACCGACGAACGCAGACACAAGGATCTGTATCTAGGTAGATGTTGGAATTGTGCATCGAAACGGTCTGCAGTCGTCAATGGGATATTTGCAAAGGGCCTTTGAGTCACAAAATTGCGCATAATTGGCAGAACCTTTTCTCCTGCTTTTAAAAGAAACGTCGGTGAAAAGGGCTCGATTGACTTAAATATATAATTAAGCATACTTGTTTTCGCACTTCAACAAACATCTTTTAGAAGCCATTGCCTCCCCCCCTTCTCAAAGAATACAGCACATTCTGATGTCACACTGTCCCTTAGACCTCAAACCACATCGACTTTCTTAACACTAAGAATTGCCATAGAAACTTCTGCATTTTTAAAAAGAGGGGTGAAAGGTTGACGAGAAGTCCAGAAATTTGCGTAGTTTGTTGATAGGTTCAAAGTTTGAGAAACATTGAACGGATAGACTATTCGATTCGTTCCGCCTTTGTCCCCGCTCCGCCAACACCACATGTCCACCCCGAGTCGGCGGCGGTCCCCTGCCCCGCCCTCGACCCGGCCCTTTTTTTTTGTGCGGGAGGGTCTCCTTGCTGGTGGATGCTGGGGAGCAGGTAGCTCACACGAAACGGACCGATAAACAGCGCGATCTCGTCTATAGGCTTCGCGATTTTCTAATCGCACGCGAAGCCTAATAAAGGGGAGTGTTGAGCGAACACCACAGCACTTGTACACATATCCAGCAACACAAAAGAAATCTCTTTGTTTAAACACACAATTGACACATGAATGGTGCACATGAAGTATACCAAGCAGCAACATAAGCACCAGTCTGAACACGTGTTCATACATTTTGTGAAACTTCACGTGAGATGATGGGAACAAGCACAGACATAAAACGTAAAGGGAGAAAAGGTAATACTACGATGTCAGCAGTAAAAAACATTCATAATGATTTGAATAATAAAATTACTCATCCAAATTTTCAAAACGCACAAAAAATACTGTGACTGTGTAAGTGAATCAAGAACCCCAAAATTATACGTAATTTCAAACTACTATGAATTTTCTTGATTTCTGGGCCATAATTAATAACACAGTTTAATGGATCACTGTTTCAGTTGCAAGGAAGAATGATTCGTCTCAAAAGAGAGCATCACAAATCAACATTTTTGACAACTTGTTGATGACACACGTTTTTTACGAAATGAACTAACCTGAGCGTAGCAAGGCTGGATCCGAAGATATGGAGTCTGGAGTCTTCTCGTAAATTTCACTTCACAAAATAAACGAATAGACAAAACAAATACTTTTTGTGCGAATACAAAACAACACAGCTCCCATTCAACCCATTCAAACCGTTCACATCACATCGTCTTCACCAACTGAACTGACGGAAACGGCGTAGGAAGAAAAAGAGGAACGTAGTCCACCGACCGGAAGTAGAAGTCTGACGCGGCGAGAGAAAACTCGAGAGAAAACAACAAGCCCACAGACTGAATTTCATTTTTTACATGTACACCCCAAGATTGTCACTACCAAAAGGCAAATAAGTGCCTACCCTCGAGCACCAAAGAAAGCACACATGACGCCTGTAAGTTCCATCCTAAATGGTACATGGCAAGCGACCATCAGAGGAACTATATTTTATCTTCGTCAAAGTAGACAGGTGTTAGTTTGTTGTACGAGTATGTGCCACGGTTTGCTGCCATCGGTTACGTTTCGCGTCTTTTCTCTAATGTGGCATCTGCTGTAGTCCCTTATGCGCACCCGGTATAATATTCTTAAATCATGCTAGAAAATTTCTAGGTCATTGCCTGCTGGCGGTGAGGTGGAACTAAAGGTGTGGTAAGTAGAGTGGAGGCAGATCTTTTGCGGCTTGAAGCGCTTGAAGTGAGGTGGGTGTCCGCTGACTTTGGGTTCTCTAGAGCCGGATGGGAACGATGTGCAGTTGAGTCGACAGACTCAAAAATCAACGTTTATCCGTTGGCAGTAATATGTAGAACCTTCATGTATCGCGCCGTTGTCGCGAGTCGCCAGCTCGCGCGGAGCTGCGGCCGAGAGCTGCCGCGTCTTCCTCGCCACTTCCGCGGATAGTCGCGGAGTCTGCGGTTCGAAATGCTGGTCCTAAAGAGCCCATTTTTGGAGGCAGCGACACGATCCACTTTGTGGACGCGGTGCGGTGGCGGCGGTGGCGGCGGGCTCCAGATCCGCAGCTAGCTCGCGCCGCCTCCGCCCCCGGGGGCAGGAGAGAGAGGGAGGCGGAGGAGGGGGAGGGGGGGGAGGGAGAGAGGGGAGAGAGTCTGGCGCAACGAAGGGCGCAATGAGAGAACAAGGGGAGGGGGGAGGGAGTCTATCCTCCAATCGAACGTCAATCGGCAGCCTAGCCACGAGGCCCGCTCCACCGCCACCGCGAAGGACCGGGGGGGGGGGGGGGGGGGGGGGGGGGGAGGCAGCAGGCAGGGCCGGGGGTGTTTTTAGCGGGAGAGAGAGAGGCTCTCGCCCTCCCTCGCCTCTCGCCTGGCCGGGAGAGCGGCCACCGCCCCGGTCTCACCCAGTCTCACCGCGAATCATCGGCGCCACCGCGCAGGCACACCGCGGGGCCGCGGGGTAGGGGTAGGGGGCGGGGAGAGGAGGGGAGAGTCAACTCGACTAATTATTACCGCGATACTCTCGCGAAGCCAGCCATCCGAGGCAGCTCTACCCGTTTTAGATTCTCACAATATGCTCGACGCCTCAATAACAAAATGTGTGTGTTCGACGTGAACGTCTTGCTCGAAGGACTCGACACGTGAACTATATTCTGATTTTGGTAGAAATCCAAGTAGTCCACATGCGGGCGGGAGGACTTCCTCCTCGTGTCTGTGTCTTGCAGCAGCGCATGATCATAAGGCGTTACTCCGTGTGGTCCTTTTTCCCTGAACCTTGGTCCTGGAAACCACCTCACCTGCGCCGTCGCGCAGGGTAGTCCTAGGGGGCCTAGGGGACTTCCCTGCACCAGGCCACTGGCCACCGGAGCGGGGCACCTGCGCACCTACGCAGCTGCGGGAAGCAGTGGGCAGGGCAGGCAGGCAGGGACTTCCCTGCGTGCATGCAGGTCCATCCTGCTCTCGCGGTGGCCGCCGGTCCGGTGCCGCTGGCGCTGGGTGCGCTGGGGCGCGCGGCGCGCTGGGCCATGGCGGCGGCGGCCTCCTTGGAGGGGGAGAGAGAGAGAGAGAGAGAGAGAGGTGAGAGGTGGGCGCGGCCGAAGAATCGTCCTCCCGTCACACGCATTGCAAGAGAGGCGAGTAGAGCGGATTTCTGTTGGCCCCCACCCCCCTCCTGACCGGTGGTGCGGTCTGCTGTGCTGGCTGGCTGCGCGGGCAGCCCGGCTGGCACCAAGCATCCATCGAGTGTTGGCCTATTGTGAGCCCGCGGGTCGGAGGGGGCGCGCGGGGGGGCCCTGCTGCCCCCGGTGCCCCCCACCACTCCTTCGGGGGCTGGCCGCCTGCTCCGTCTGCGCGGCCGGACAACACGGAGGGGGTGGGGGA